TTCCGAGGCTGTAAATCTTTACGGGAGCAGAAAGCCTCAGCTTTCTCCAGCAGAACAGCTGGTAGTTTCAAACTGCTGACCTTGAGGTTAGCAGCCTTATTCGTAACCACTACACTACCAGAGCTTCTTAGGCCAGACCAATTTTCCACTTTTGCATGGGACCCATTGCTTCTTGCTCCAGCAATTGTCCCCTCCCTCTTCCATCATCAACTACCTCCCTCTCTCCTGAATCATTCCCATCAATAACCATACTTGTTACATTTTCCACATTACTAAAAGCCTTGATGTCACATTCCCTTTTAGCCACTGACCCATTTCTTTGCTTTTTTTTTTAAATAAAACTCCTTGAAAGGAGGGCACTTACACTATCTTCACATCACATTTATTTCCATTTTGGCTTTTGTTCCTACCACTTATTGATGCTGTACTTGTCAAGATTCCCAATGACCTATACATTGCTAAACCCATGATTGCTTCTTGGCCTGCCTATAAACAATGTTGGACAAAGTTGGTTTCTCCTCTTTCTTGAACCACTTTCTTCTCTTGGCATCATTCTTGTTTGATTCTCCTCCTTCCTCACTGGATGCTCTTCTCAGTCTCTTTTTCTGGTTTTTCCCTATTTTCCTGACCTCTAAATGTTGGCATTCTCCAGAGACTTAGTCTTTAAATCTCTTATTTTCTCCTTCTTATCTATAAGTGTAAAGCCCCATAGACACATTCATGATTCCAAAATGTATACCTTAGCTCTGATCTCTTCCCAGCACTCCAAATTTATATATATAATTGCTTACTGAACATCTCCACTGGATAGCTAACCTTAGGCTCATCCTTAACTCCTCTATCTCTCATACCATTCATCCAATTCATTGGCAAATCTCATCAACTCTATCTTTGAGATACACAGCAGTCCTAATCCAACCACATAGCCCCTCTGCACTGCTAGATCCCAAGATCACATCTTTCATTTGGGTTACCACAATAACTCCTAAAAGTTTTCTTGCTTATGCCCTGTTCCTATAGCCTATTAGCCAAAGAGTAGCCAGAAGGAGTTTGTTAATATACTGGTCATTTCTAGTCACTCTCTGCTAAGCCCCTCCAGTATCTTCCCATCTCAGAGTTCTATCCAAAGCCCTTTCTATGGCCTTCAAGGCTCAACCTGATCCACACAAATACCCTTGCTCTTCCTCTATGCACTCAAGCCACAGCAGTCTCCTTGCTGTTCCTGTTGTTCACTCATCAGTGGGCCTTTGTACTTTGGGCCTTTGTACTTTGCTTGTGCCTCTGTTTTCTTCCTGAGAGCTGCATAGTTTACGCTCTCACTCCCTTGAAGATTCTGCTCAAAGGCAACTTATTATAAAGGTCTCCCCTGTAAACACTAAATAAAATCACATCTCCCTCACTCTCTATCCCCTGTTCTCTGCTTTAAGTTATCCTCCCTAAGACTTATCACCAGCTGACATACAGTATAAATATACTATATATCAATAAACAAATATACTTATTTGTTTATAATCTGTCTCTAGAAGGTTGGCTTCATGAGGGCAAAGACTGTCTTTTGTTCAGTCATCAACAGCGCCTGGCACAGAGTAAGTGTTCAATACATGGGTAAGTAATAAAGTATTGCTATGTAACAATAAAAATCTTTAAAATATCAAAATATGAAGCTGTTATTTCTTGACATGTCCTCCATCTAGGTTTATATGCTTCTGAGGGCAGCGTTTATAACTCTATAGGGTCAGAACCAACTCCAAGGCACTTAACAACAACAATAACCCAAGGAATTCTGGACTCTTCAATTTATACCATGTCCAAACAGTAGTTTTGGCACCCTCAAGGATTCAAATTGTGTTCCTTTTAAATATCCTTTGAGTTTGGGGAACAAAAAGAAATATGAAGGGGCAAGATCAGGGCTGTAGGGTAGATGGGGTAAAGTTTCCCAATGAAATTCTTGTAAGGAAGCCCTTACTACCCTCAAAGGTACACTGCCATGATAGGGAAAAAGTTCCTCAGAAAAAATTCAAAAGGAAACTTTCCTGGCCTTTTTCTCACCAAGAAAATTTTCAGTTTTCTTAAAACTTCTTCCTAATAAGTTCCCATGATTGTCCTGTGTCCTTCAAGAAGATATCAAGATTACCCCTTTGAAGTCCCAAGAAGCAGTCACCATAACCTTCTGAGCTGACCTCTTTGCCTGAAATTTAACTGACCCAGCAGATATCTTCAGAAACCACTGTTTTAATTGGACATTGTTTTTGAAGGCACCCTAATGAGACTAAGGCAAGTGTATTACTGAGAGAATTTGTCTACAGCCATCCACTGATCACAGAGCCATGTTTAAACACATTTTGTTTGAAATAAATCCATATATGTATGAACTGGAACCCCAGGAGCAACATTTTTTTTTTTTTTTTTACTTATCCTGAACAAATGAAAAGATGGGAGTAATGCAATGCTGAGCAAGCAAGAAGCCAAGGATGGCATACTGGTATACTGATGTTAAATGATCCATGATGAGGCTAAAAGAAAGGGACAGAGCACATATGGTACCAAGGAGAAAGAAAGCAGGGTCAACTACTGAGAGAGATCATGTAAGACAACCCAATGGGTGAAACCATTCTAAATCCATTGGATCCACTTTAGAGATGTACAGCTGACCTCATGACAGCAGTTTTAGTGGCCTTGGGGGAACAGAAACCAGACCACAGTATACTGAGAAAAGACTGAGGAAGAAAATAGTGGAGGTAGCCAATGTAGATGACTCTTCCAAGCAAAGATGAGAGGTGTTGGAGCTGGAGCTGAGGGGTGCAAGGTAAGCGAGCTAGTAGGGGAATCTAACCTTATTAGTGTCTGCTGCTGCCAGGGATGACTAACCCAGGAACTATTGCAGTAGGCTCCCTTTCCTGGTCTTTCATTTCCATGCCATCTTGTGCTGAGGCCAAATTCACCTCCATCAAGCACAGATTCTATATACTTCTAAGCTCAGAAAATATCCTAAATTCTTCTATGCATTCAGGTAAAACCTAATTTCTTAGCATTTAAGATTTTTCTATGATCTCATTTCTTCCTCTATCTCTTCTTCTTACACTCAGATATGGCTTTTAGGAAGCCTTCCCTAAACTCCCAGTGGAAAGTCACATTTCCTTCATTTGGGCTACTATGAAATTCATACTTCTGTCTGCCTTTCAGCTCTAGTACATACATTTCCATCATGCAATATCATTTACATATGAATTCTATCACATCTAAGATACTATCTGTTCTTTGAGGGCTGGATTCATGCCAGACTCAGCTCAAGCACAAGGAAGCTGTTCAAATATTTGTCAAAAAATATATATATAAATGACCAAGGAGTCACAGAGTGACAGAAACAGTTAAGCACTCAGCTAGTAACCAAAACGTTGGTAGTTCAAATCTACACATAGGTATCTCGAAATAAGGCCTAGCAATCTACTTCGAAAAGATCATAACCATTGGGGAAAAAATACAGGAGTGACCAAACAAATCATAGCACATGGAGTAAATTTACCTTTAGCCATGTGAATGGAATCAAAACCTTGCAGGCAGCAGGTATATCCAGGTGCCATGGTAGCTACCTTCCACAGTACCCTGTTGTTAGAAATACGAGTTTACAGACTGATAAAGACTGAGCATGCGTGGGGAGATGGCATACAGCTAAATGACTGTTTCTTAATACTGACTGAGCATAGGGAGAAGGACTGAAAGATAACTATTTCTGAACTGAAAATGTCTACCCATTTGTGCTGCCTTCACAATTCATTATGAGTAAAATGAAGCCAGTCCAGACTTTGAGTTTTAGCGTGCCAATTATTTACCAGTTCTGCATTTTTGGAAAATTCACTTAACCCTTTTGGATTTCAGTTTCTTAAGACTTACTCTGTCAAACTCATGGAGCATTATGAGGGGCTAATGGATGTGAAAGGACTTTCACAGTCTATGAAGTGCTATTATGAAAATGTAACGCAAGTTCCCATAATGTGGTTGCTCAAACAACCACTCACCTTCCAAATACTAGTCAAGCCAGTGTCGCTGGGACCAGAAATAGCATTTTCAAGTCTAGTTTGAATCAAACAGACAGAGTGTTCTCACTTCAGAGAAATGAAATTAAAAAGTCTTAAGACGGTCATTCAGTAATGAACAAAAGTAGTCCGCTCCCCTTATTTAAAGGCCTTACACTGATCAATACTGATGCGTGAACTAGAAATGTTGGCCTCTGTTGATTTCTTAGATTGAAGCTCTGGAAGCCACAGGGTACTTTCATGAGTAAGGTGACAGTCAAGTTTATTTCTGTCTCCTACAAGACACCTTATAATACATTTATCTCATCTGTTAAGAAGAGTTAACAATGTTGAACTCATCTCTCAAAACTATTCAGGGAAACAACCAAGTTCTCTTAAAACACAAAAAAACCTCAAAGGATTTAAGAAACTTACTCACAGGAAACCAGATACCATCTAACTCTAAAATATTTCCATGAGCACCATCAACCAGGACATGGCAGAGAGAAATGTCCTACATGTATAGAACATATTATTTTGTATGTGGGAAGATATTCTGAAAATCTTCTCATTTGAGCCTCATAATAACCCTGTGAGAAAGGCAAGCAGGGGTAATTATTCCAACTTTACAGATGACGAAAAAGGCTCAGGGAGAATGGTTTAACCAAGGTCCACTGCTGGTTAGTGGAAGAGAGTACAGTATTTTTCATAAGTCCAAATGGTCTTCAGCATGCTTGTACTCTTGTTATAAAGGTAAACCACAAACATATATGAGGAAACAATGTTCTGCATGCAGCAGTGCTCAATGAATACCTAGTGATGGTGGTGGTCCTGATGATGGATGACAGTGATGGTGGCAGTAACAGTGATGGTGATGACAGGGATGATTTCATGATGATGATCATGATGGAAGAGTAAAGGGTGTAGATGGTGCATGCTAAACAACCAGTAATGATGAAGAATGTTAATGGCACTGGCTGAGCTCACCTGAGTCTTCTCCATACCAGTCAGCCTGGACATCCATCACAGAACTCACGGATACTCTGGCACCATCTGGTCTGGCTTCCAAACTTCGAGTAAAATGATGGTCCACATCATCTTTGCTCTGGACAGTACTGTTGCATAAGAGTGCCTCCAGGAAGTGCTTCATGTGATAGTTACTATAAGCAAAGTCAATGGCCTGGCCGCTGGGCAAGCCCTCCTCTATCTGAGCCAGACTCAGAGGAGCAGCACATCGCTGCAGCTGTTCACCAACCTCCACCTCCACTTTATCAGTGTCAGATTCCACTTTGGGCTCTATCCGTTTGGGAGGCGAAGGGAGGTCATTGTTTGTTGAGACACCACTCCGGCTGTCTTTCACCACCAGTTCCAAAGGGTAGCAGCCTCCACAGTCACCGCAAGGGGACTCTCTTGGACAGTCTACACTCTCTTCTCCCTTGGATGGAGAGGAGACCAAGCTCTTGGTAACTCGGGAAGTCACTTCCCTATCTGAACTGAGGTTTCCACTATCAATCTGATGAGCTGCCGTTGCCGCCGCCACCACTGCAGCCACAGCGGCCTCCTTCTCTATCTTTCGGCAAATGTCTAGGGATGACCTGATGTATGTCTTGCAGAAGTTCACCACATCATTCATCTGTAGGTAGCTGGCAGCCGACATAACTTCAATCACATTCTCACCACATAAATCCAACTTTCCAGAATAAAGGAAGTCTAAGATGGTGGAGAAGGCATCAGAGGTGACAATATCCAAGGAGGCAGTGCTGTGCCGCCCACTGTCTTGGATGTAGTGAATGAGCAGGGCTCGGAAGTAGCCACTATTGGCGAATAAGATGTTCCTGTGGGCCTTGAAGATCCGCCCCTCAACAATGATGCTGCAGTCACAGAAAAAGTCCCTCTTGCGCTGTTCATTCAACTCCCCTAAGAGTTTGGCATAATAGGATTGCATCTCCATTTCTCCACCAGCTGCTGCCACTCTGGAGTAGTCTCTATCTCTGCCAAGATTTTTTTTTTTTTAAGTTAACACACAAATCCCCACCTTATAAATAATACTTTAGTTTTCAATTTAAAAAAATTCTTTCAAAACCTGGTTCAACAATGTTTTTATGATATGGGGTGCTTTGGGATCTAACAAAAGCCAGAAGTTATCCAACTGGATTAATGCATGAAAAACAATAAAAATAGGAGCCCTGGTGTCACAACGGCCAAAGCACTCAGCTGCCAACCAAAAGGTCATCAGTTTAAACCCACCAGCCACTCCCAGGGAGAAAGAAGTTTGTTTCCATAAAGATTGCAACTTTGTACCACTGCCAAATGCTCTGAAAGGGATCACTTTAGAAGGTAGAGTGGAGGCAATGTGGAACAAGACTTAAAATTATAAAAAAGACAGGGTTTACTGATCCAAAAGAAATGGGAGGAACCTGAGAATATGGCCCTTGGTCACTCTTTGGGTCTGGAATGGGGGATGGGGGGGAGGGGGGCAATAATACTAGTGAGGCATGCTAACAAGGGGGTGACATTTACCTGGGGACAAAGTTCAGAGGGATTAGGAAGGAGGGTAGAATGGAAATACGAACCACAGGGAGGAAGTGAGATTACTGTAGTTACATGGAGGGACTGCAATCATTGAGATGAAACACAGTGTAGGATTTAGTGGATGTAAAACTGATGATCTGCTTTGTAAACCTTCACTCAGTTCACAATAAAAAGTTTCAAAAAGAAGATCACAGCCTGGGAAGACCTATGGGGGCACTGTAGGGCCACTCTAAGCTTAACAACAAGGGGTTATAGTTTTTATGGTTAACGTTAAAGATTTACAGTCTCAGAAACCCTATATAGGATTGCTATGAGTTTGAATCTACTGGATGGCACAAGGATGTAAGCACAAGGAGCCCTGGTGGCCCTGTGGGTTAGGCATTGGGCTGCTAACTACAAGGTTGAGGGTTCAAACCCATCAGTGCAAGAAAGATGAGGCTGACTGCTCTCATAAGGATTAATAGTCTAGGAAAACCTATATAGAGTTGCTATGATTTGGAATTGATTTGATGGCAGTTTGTTTTTTGGGTTTGGGTATGTGAGCACAGTATTTAGTAATGTAGGACCAAAGAGAAGAATCCATTTCGTATATAAGCTTTAGCACGTCCTCTAGCTCCAAGAAAATAATATATAGCCAGGCAGCTCAAGGCCAGAGGCCAGATGTTTTCCTTTACCCTAGCCTAAGAACAAAGACCACCAGTCCTGACCAATTAAACTGTAACATCTCATAGTTTGCCAATTGTTAACCAATCCAAAGATTGTAAAGCTGAGAAACCTGAGCTGTTTAAAAACTCTACAAAAATCCTGCAGACAAAAGGTTCGGGGCTCTTTCCCTATTCTGCTGCATCGGATAAGGTTAGAGACCTGGCTCGAGCTTGAATAAACAACCCTTATGTATTTACATTGGTGCACGGCTCCTGGGTGGTCTTTGGGGACCCTGAACTCTGGGCATAACATTTATACTTCAATTATTTCAATGGATTCTTATAAATGCTCTAAGAGTTAAGTACTCTCATATTGTCCCATACTTCTGATGAAGAAATGGAGACTTAGAGAAGCTAAAAGATGACCCAGCTGGTAGCAGAGACAGTACTCAAAACCAGAATCCAGAGCTTCAAAGTTTAGCCTCTCTATATTCTTCAAACCTAAAACCAAACTCAGACATCGACTTAATTCCAACTCACAGCAACCCAATAGGATAAAGTAGATCTGATCCACAGGGTTTCTGGGACTATAAATTTTTATGGAAATAGATAGCCTCATATTTTTCCCCATGGAGCAACTGGTGGATTTGAACTCCTAACCTTTCAGTTACAAGCCCACCGCTTAACACACTGTGCCATAAGGTTCCTTCTATTTTCTTCAAGGCTCAAAAATCTAAGAAATACAGTTGTGCTTCTAGTGCACCAGATTGGACCTTTGTCTTATTAACTGTCATCAAATTGATTCAGACTCACAGCCCCTGTCTTCCAAAGTGCCAGGTTTGTCTTCCAAGAGGCCTATGTGTGGGTTTGAATAGTCAACCTTTCAACTAGTAGTCAAGCTGTTAACCATTTGCACCACTTAAGGACTCTTAGTTTGGCAGTAACTCCAACATGGGAAATTAACAGCCTCAGCTATCAGAATTTTTGGTGGATTCTTGCACCTATCCAGCACCCAGTCTCCAGTCTTAACATTTAAGTGCCCTTTCTGGCTTTGATGGAATCACTCATCCCCTATTCCAGGTCAATATGCTTTGTATAAAACTGGCTCCACCCCTAGGTTCTATATGTATAAGATTTAATATAGACCCCATCCCACCATCTGACCGTAGTGATTAGCTCAGTGGTCATATGACTGGTTAGAGCCAATGAGAAGCAATACAGTGTTTTCTAGGGTTTCTGAAAGGCATGCTCTCTGTTCTATGGGCAGGTAGGGTATGAAGAGGGATGTTTCTGCCACACCACCAGGGGAACCAACCTAATAAAGATGAGGCAGGACCAACAGATGGACCCAGAGATGTCATCTGAGCCCCAACTCCAACTATGCCAGAACCCATTAAGTTCTTTTTTGCTTTAGTTTGTCCGAATAGAGTTTTCTGTCTCTTGTAACAGAGGGAGTACTAACTGATTAACTCCACTACTCTGGTTCATTCCTTTGGATTATTTATGTACTGGCCCTGCTCTGTCAGTGGACCATAAGACCTTTCAAAATAAAAACTTCATCATGGTCAAATTGATATCCCCTACGGAACCTGGCCGAAGATTTGGGAAAACAGGTTTGCTAGTAAAAAGGAATACTCCTTTCTTAACTGCCAAACATGAAACTGTGCCATCAAATCAGTTGCAACTCAATGACCCTTTAGGACAGAGTGGTACTGGCCCATAGGGTTTCCAAGGCTGTAATCTTTACAGAAGCAGCTGCTTTTTCTCCCATGGAGTGGTTAGTGGGACCTTTTGGTTAGCAATCAATCACTTAACTACTGCAATACCAGGACTCCTTAATGATAAACATAACAAGTATGTTGTTGTTGTTGTTAAGTGCTGTCAAGTTGGTTCTGATGCATAGCACCCTGTATAGGATTTCCGAGGAGCCACTGGTGGGTTTGAAGTTCAAACTGATTCTACAGTCTAGAGTTTATCATACAGCACCACACCAGGACTCCATGTAACAAGTATTGTTGTTGTTATTAAGTGTTGTTGAGTCGATTCTGACCCATAGCAACCCTGTACAGGATTTCCAAGGAGCAGCTGGTGAGCTTGAACTGCCGACCTTGCAGCTCAAATGGCTTTACAATCTAGCACATTAGCCCACAGTGCCACACCAGGACTCCTATGTAACAAGTATGTTGTTGTTGTTGTTAAGTGCCATCGAGTCGGGTCCGACCCATAGCAACCCTGTACAGGGTTTCCGAGGGTGTAAATCTTTACGGGAGTAGAAAGCCTCATCTTTCTCCCGCGGAGCGGCTGGTAGTTTCGAACCGCTGACCTTAAGGTTTGCAGCCCGATTCGTAACAACTACGCTACCAGAGCTCCTTATGTAACAAGTATAGATCGAGTTAAATTCTCCTAGTGGCTGCCCTTCTTCCCTAAGGCCTCGCCTCCATCTTTCCCCACCATATGAACCACACAGTCATTCAACTACCACTTTCACCTATTGACCCATGGGACCTAGAGATGATGCACAACCCAGTCCATCATCTCCCTCCATTGAAACAGCAGAAGGTCTAGTCAGAGCTGTCTTCCATTACTAACAACTCTCTAGCCACTATTCCTTTCCACCAAAACCCATTGCCACTGAGTCACTTCTGATTCTTAGTGACCCTATATGGGGTTTCCAAAACAGTAAATCTTTGCAGGAGCAGACCACAATAATACCTCACCCTGTTAGAAATCAGAAAAAACTCAGGGGAAAAAAAATGGAAAAAGCCCCTCCGCTAGCAATAGACCTATACACTGACTCTGTACACTGCATGTTCTTTACTCATAAAGAGCCACGATTGCCTTATTAAATTATAATTTATACCTCTTTTACACAGATTTACAACTAGTGATACAGTGAATTTAGAAACTGGAGAACCTAATAGGAAGAGAAACAAAGAGGACCCTCTATAAACAAATAAACCAACAAACTTAAAAATGAGAGCTGGCAACTATGAAAGGGTAAAAAGTTACTAAAAGTAGGCCTAAGAATGTTTTTTAGAATATCAGCCTGAAACCATTTAGCTAAGGGTATCAAAAGCATCTATATACTCAAAATTGCCATCGGGCATCCGTAAATTACTCATATAACCCAGGGCAAGGGCTGATGTTCCTAAGGGTATGCCGAAGGCATCAAGAGGATTCTTATATTTTTATATTCATTTTAAACTCAAAAAATTTCTGTCATAATTTTTGAGAATTTTCTCCTACAAAGTAGTTAAAATTAACATTTGGTTCTAAAAGGAAGACTATCAGATACCTGAAATTTTCAACTATCTCAAATGAATCAATCCTGAAAGTCTTCATAAATGTGAGGTTTTAGTTACTCAAATGCCTTCCCATTGTTCAAACCAAGTCTTCCCAGCAGTTCTTGCTAATGTTTTTAACAAAAAATATTAAGGGAAAAATAAAATTCAGAAAAATTCTACATTTGGAACACCATTTTGGAGAATTTGGGACTATTCATTCTTGTTGGTTCCGACTCATAGTGACACTGTATAGGGTTTCTGAGGCTTTAAATCTGTCCAGGAGCAGAAAGTCACAACTTTCTGCTAAAAAACTTGTTCTTATTGTTAGGTTCGATCAAGTTGGTTCCGACTCATAGCAACTTTATGCACCACAGAAGGAACTACTGCCTGGTCCTGTACCATCCTCACAATTGTTAAGTTTGAGACCATTGTTGCTGCCACTGTGCCAATCCATCCCCTTGAGGGTCTTCCTCTCTTTCCCTAATGCTCCA